ACTTTGTGGAAGTTTGTCACAAAGTTGATTTAAAAAATCACTTTCAGACCTTTCTGCTACACTACTTAATGACATACATTCAGAAAGTTTTTTTTGTAATTCTATATTTTCTAGTTCTAGCTGTGCTAGTCTTTCATTAACTTTACATAACGAATTTGCTCATCTTTTAATTGGATTATAATATCTTTTTCCTCAACAACTTTTTCTACAGTTTTTAATTTTTTAACTACAGCTGTAAAATCTTCTTTTAATATTCTTTTTCTGGGGATTTTTTCAGAAACAGACATAGTATTACTATTCACTAATGGCCTAGCTGATGTAGACAGTTTGGGACTTATAGATTTATTAACTACGCCACCTTCATTGTCATCCTGATTGCTTAAAGAATTAAGATAACTTAAAGCTAAATTTTGATCAGGAATAGCGCTTTTTGTAAAATTCCTTGTACACATCATATTCACCGAAAAATAATTACTACAAGCGAAAATATTTTTGTTTGTCCCTCTAACTCCTAAGCGCTTTATCCACTCGTTTCTACATAATAAAGTTTGAGTTGAGCTTTCGAAGCGACCGGTTGCATAATACAGAGTGCGGAATGTAAAAATTGGTGATTGTTTAGAAAAGCAAATTTATTAAACTTTCATAAATTTTATTAATTATTTAAGTGTTAAAAAATTTTTTTAACAAATTTTACAAATGTGATTTTAGTGAATTTTACATTTTATAATATGAATTCCATTACTATTGTATAAAGCAAAAGTGTGCGCACAAATTTTGACAAACAAGTTTTGAATAGCGGAGAATATTCTAACAGTGGTGAAAACAACAAAGTGGTTTAATTTTTTAAAATTATAACAAATAAAATTATAACAATTATAATGAGATGAACGATGATGAGATCAAAGAGATGAGCGAATAAAGAAATTACAGCAATAAAGTTAAAAATAGGCCTTTTCGGTAGCTCGCAAGTACGGCAAAAAACAGCAAGTTGCTGGCCTATGCAGGCCTATACTGGCCGCAATATACGCAAAACAACAACACTATTTTCTCTACCTCGGCCAGCATAGTTATGCTGGCCAACCACATCGGCCAGTAAAAAAAAAATGTTACCAACGCAATAAGCGAACTATTGTGAACCTTCATTGAAAATTCCAACGAATAGTGCAATCAAATGTCAAAAATTGAGGAAATAAAAATTCAAACAGAATTCAAAAATTTGAAAAATCTTGAAAAGTAATTAAGAAATAATAAGAATGGAGAAATCGTAATTATTAAACACATTGAATTTTTTATTATGTTAGTTATTAACAAGTAACATTTATTTTATTTCATTTAATTTGTAGTTTACATACGTAAAATTAATTAAATAAACATAATTTTTGAAGTTTTTCTAAAAAAATTTTTTATAGAAATATACGCAAACTATGGACCACAAAGGAAACGAAGTGTTTTCTAGAGTGCATTCATAACATTTAAAAAATCCGTGAAACAACTTGCATCCCTCAGTCGCTGCAAAACGTTGCTTTCTTCTCCCAACATCGACAGTACCTACAAAAATTTACTTATCTTAGTGTTTTATTTTTAAATTTCCAATATTCTTACCATTCCTTTTAATTCCGTGTTCATTTTAATTTTATAATATTTTTATAAAAATATATTTGATTTATATGCACATATACAAGATTTGCTGTTTGTCAAAACAAAACATTTGACAGATTGCAACAGTGATGCCATTGACTCGCGTGGCCAACATAGGCCAACATGCATTTTATGCCGCACTTGCGAGCAACCGAAAAGGCCTAATATCACAACAAAGCAAGATAATCCAAGTAACAAAACTAAATCACTAAGCATCTAAAAAATGGAAAATAAATAAGAAGTGGAACATTATCAATATAAACAAAAGAAAATAGATCATTTTGTTTTTAATCTTTATTTTTCATTACATAATAAAATTGGTGGTACAATAAATAATTATATCAACTCTCAATAAACAATAACGAAATTATAATTAAAATTCTTATAATATTTGTTGAATGTTTTATATTTTTTACTTTTATTTACTATACTTTCCTTTAAAGTAGCTAAAATAACGCGCGTGCTGCTCATTTTTTATTGTCAATATGCAACCCAATGTTGATTTTCGTCAACCTTGCACATATACGGTACTCTCAAATATAAAAACAACATTAATTTTTACAGTTCTTTAGCTTCGCTACGGAACTGGCTTGTCGGTGGCTTTCTCTTGCATTTCAAGTCTCAAATGAGCAGCACGCGTGTTTAAGTTAATAACTAAATCAAATAATTGAATTATTTTTCAATATGTATTAATTTCAGAATAAGTTTAAAAGCTCTAAAGATTACATAATTAATAGTGAATAAAAAGAAAATAAAATTGAATAACTTATAAAATAAATATTTTATTTTTATATTTTTCAGTGGCGCCCGAGCAGGGACTTGAAATCGAATAATAAAATAATTAGAAATTTGATGAACATTGTTCTGTGGAGCTGCAACTGGCAGCATCGTGATTTTGGTTCGGTTGCGGAGAATGTCGGTGTGGTGTCAAGTATCAGCATCAGGGAAAAAACCGCTAATAAAATAAAGAAATAAAGAATCAACAAATTGACAAAGAAGCAGCCAATTTCATATATTCTGATGAAAACACGTGCAGGCTGCTGCTATTGGTTTTTCCTTGATTAATTCTTCATTGCTACTGTTGGCCGCTGCTACGGCAGTTTCCTGCTTAATTCTCATTGCTGCTGTTGGCCGTTGCCACTGCAGTTTACTGCCATTAATTCCTCATTGCTGCTACTGCAGACTACTACTGCATATCGCTGCTGCTGTTCGCTGTCACTGCGGAATGATACTGCTCTTCATTGCTGCTGCTATTCACCACTGCTGCTGTTTCTTTCTCTTTCTAGATGGAGTGCAACTGTAACACCACTGTCCTTTGTCAGGTAAGAAAGTGCAAGTAATGAAATTGTTGTACCAGGTCATGCTCTGACTAAACAAAATAGTCAAAGAAAGTATTTCAAATAACTTTTGCAATGGTAATTATTTGCACTTTTAAAATACATATGTTTATATTTATTCGTATCTACAATAAATAATTTACAAAACGAGAAACAAATTTACCTAGCTTAGGTTGAGCTTCATTAAACATATATGTTCGGTAAATCCAATTGTTTAATACAAATAATTGAGTAATTTGCAGGGGCAAATTATATACAAAGTGAATGCATTTTTCGTTTTCGTTTTCGCTAGTTACTTGTATCCATTTTGCTGAAATTGACCCATAATAACAATATTTGACTACTTATCGTTTTTTTCCTTATTATCGTTATAAACAAAGTGAGTGCTTCTTTCGTTTCGTTAATTTCTCGCGTTCACTTTTGTTGGAATTTACTTACAACCATCGCTCAACAATACTCAAATATTATTATCGTTCTTTGCGCTGCATTGCCTTTTCTTTTCAAAATTCTAGTAAATTGTGTTCACTATGTCAACTAAAAAGCGACCATCATCCCCACAAAAAAATGAAGATTGGGATAAACTAATCCAGCAGCGAGAAACTGTAGTGGCCAGCATCCTGCGTATTAAAAAAGTAATATTGGAGAAAACTTTTGATTTAAACCCTGTAGAACTGGAATGTAGGTTGGACATTCCCAATTCATATATTAAACAGGCTATGACTTGCCAGCAAAAAATAGAATGTATCAACGAGTCTGATGTATTTCGACCAGATCTAGAAGAAATCTGTGTTGCTTCAAAATCATTGTTCTTACAGGCGTTAGGTAAAAACCGCAAGTCTAGTATCCCTGATACTTCGCATGAATGCAGCAATCATCGTTCCAGGCTGCCAAGTATGCGTTTACCTAAATTTAGTGGGAAACATTCTGAATACAAAAACTTCATAAGCCTTTTTGAAAGCTTAGTGCACAATGATCAGTCGCTAACTGATATTGAAAAATTCAATCATCTCATTTCGTGTTTGTCTGACGAAGCTCTTGGTACAGTTAAGGCATTTCAACTCACTGAAACAAATTACTTAAAGGCATTAGCTAGTTTAAAAAGAGTTTACGATAACACTTGTTTAATCTTTTTCGATAGTATCTCGCAGCTTTTTGAACTTCCAGAAATGAATAAGCCATCTGCTTCTGCATTAAGCAATATCATAGATAGTATTTCTGCCATATATGAGTCCCTATCGTCAATAGGAGGTGATAAGAACATTTCAAATGCAATTCTTATTCATTTAGTCATGTCAAGAGTCGATGCCGCTACGAAATCCAAATGGGAGGAGCAATTAGATTACAACAAGCTGCCACTCTGGTCTGATTGCGAGACTGCGTTAAATAAGCGATATCAACACATTTCTGCTGACGAAGCTTCCACGTCAAGATCTCGATCGAACAGGCCAAAACAGGACAACTGGCAAAGTAAGAATGCAAAATCTTCATTTATGTGCAAAAAAAATAGTTCGCAAGAGGAAAGTAGATGTTTGTTCTGTAATGCGAAGTAACATGTAATAAATTCATGCTCTGGCATGCATAAATTGTCTCAAGAAAGGGCACACGGTATCTAGATGCAAGGCATCACGCTGCAGAGTATGTAATCGGTCGCACCATACTCTTTTACACCAATACTCTACAAACACTTCTCAAACAGGTTTATCTTATAATCCAGAACAACCCATTATTTCTCGTGCCTCTGTGAATCATAGCTCATCGAATGGCGATCAAATTATTCTGGCCACTGCAGTCATAACCATTCAAGGAAAATCTGGAGATTATCAGCTGGCCAGAGCATTGTTTGATTCCGGTTCTCAAGTCAACTTTATAACCGAGGAACTTGCACAATGACTGCAAATAAAAAAAGAAGCGAAAACTCTAAATCTAATTGGCATTGGTGAAACAAACTCCACAGTACGGCAAAAATTACATGCCACTGTGAGATCACGTATTAACTCTTATGAGTTTTCTACTGATTTTTGGATAATGCCTTCAATCTCCACTTACCAACCCGACAAATTTGTGTCAATGAGTAATTGGAATGTTCCTTCCAATCTTTCACTTGCTGATCCACACTTTCACAAACCGCAAAAGATAGATCTTCTACTTGATGCCGAAAGCTTTTTCGAACTGTTGTCGGTTGGACAAATAAAACAAGATACTTATTTTCCAACGCTCCAGAAAACATTACCCGGATGGATTGTATCTGGAAGATTCAAACATACCGAAAGTCCCAATGCTAAAATTTGCAATCTAATAAGCTTAGATAAAGAAAAGTTGACAGATGACTGTTCCTTAAACTCTCTTGTACAAAAATTCTGGGAATTACAAGAAATTCCTAAGGAGATTAAGGTTAAGAAATATACTGCGGAACAACAACTTTGCGAGACAAAATTTGTCAGCATAGTTCAACGTACACTGTCTGGTAGGTTTAAGGTGAAACTCCCCTTTAAATCTGATTCAAGTTTTTTAGGATTCTCATTCCAAACAGCAAGAAGCCGTTTTCTATTATTAGAGCGCAAACTTTCGAAAGACTCCATTTTACAGAATCTCTATATGGATTTTATGAAAGAATATCGGAACTTAGGTCATATGACACCAACCAACGAGAATTTTTCTGCAACCACTCACTACTTCATACCCCATCAATGTGTTCTGCGACCACAGAGCACCTCTACTAAGCTTCGGGTTGTATTCGACGCATCAAGTCGAACATCTTCGCAGAAGTCATTAAATGATCTACTAATGGTCGGTCCGATCGTGCAAGAAGATTTGTATTCAATCCTGATTCGTTTCCGCATGCATAAGTATGCAATAACTGCTGACATTGTTAAAATGTACCGTCAAATTGAAGTTGACGAGGCAGACAGAACTTTTCAACTTATACTTTGGAGAGAAAATTCGTCCGAAGAACTGAAGGTGTACAAATTAAACACTGTGACTTATGGTACGTCATCTGTACCATTCCTAGCTACTGGCTGCTTAACCCATTTGAACGATATTTATCAACTTATTTATCCCAGGGGAGCAAACTCAATACGCAATGACTTTTATGGCGATGATTTGCTTACTGGTTCGGATAAATTTGAAAATTTAGAAACAATTCGAAAAGAAGTCAGTTATATTCTCAATGAAGCAGGATGTCAATTAGCGAAATGGTTCTCAAACCACTCAGCCTATGGAAGCACCGAGCTGTTAGAAAAACCGTTCAAAGTCAATGACAGTGATATTACAAAGGCCCTTGGAATCCATTGGTTGCCAAAGAGTGATATTTTCAAATTTCATTTAGAAGAAAAATTCAATCATTTACGAGCGACAAAGAGAAATATATTGTCGGTTTCAGCTCGACTTTTCGACCCCCTCGGTTTGATTTGCCCAATTATCACTAAAGCAAAAATATTGTTGCACGAACTTTGGCTTCAAAAACTTAATTGGGATGAATCGATACCTATCCACCTTGACACGATATGTATGTGTCAAGGTGCATATATGATATGTAAATGTGATTCCAAATTCCAAATGCGAAATTCACGGTTTCGCAGACGCTTCGATAAGAGCTTATGGCTGTTGTATTTACATCAGCCATAAGCTCACGACTCTAATGGTATCCATCCAGCGTTGCACACTGTAACGACCTTTCCCCGGCCCTATCTATAGCTGAGGTATACTCAGCGAGTATACCAGGGTTCGTTATAAGAAAATTTATCTAAGTAAAATAATAGAGACACTTCTGTTTAAAGTAGCGTTTATTATTTAACAATAAAAAGAAAATATAATCAAGTTGTGGAAAGCGATGTTGAATGTTGCTAATGATGTAGAATGTTGTAATGATGTTGTAGACGGTGTAGCATGTTGTAAAATGTTGTATGGTGTTATAAATGTTGTAACGATGTTGTAAACGGTGTAGGATGTTGTGAAATGTTGTATGATGTCATAAACGTTGTCACGATGTTGTAAACGGTGTAGAATGTTGTGAAATGTCGTATGACGATTGCTTGCAGTGGTGCGCAAGTTGCTAACCTGTAACAGGAGAAATTCCAAATAGCAAAAATCTCTAGATACTCTAATATCAATATAAAGCAATACCTTTGTCAGCAAAAGCCAGACAAGGGTTCCTTCCTACTGTTACGCTCGTTGTCCACACGCCTTCTGACAGTGTTGGTGACTCGTCGCCCATTCCTCCATCAGCTATGGCCAAATGGAAAACTGGATGACTAGTTAAACTACCCAACGCCAGCATAAGCCAAGCAGCAGGTAACTCAACTGGTTAAACTACCCTACGCCAGCATAAGCCAAGCAGAAGGTAATTCAACCACCATCACTTCGCCCAAACCAGTCCATCCATTCACATGGTGATCGTCAGCAATGGCCAAACGAATCAATATGTGCCTGGACCAACTAGTCCGAGCTCCCACTATCGTCCCTAACAAAACGATTTGGCAATTTCGCTGCCCTTTTATTTGAAATTCCCTCCATTACAGGCAAAAACAAAAATTATCTTCAAGTAAACAAGGTCCCGTAAATTTGTCAAAACAAATTTCTTATTGTTGTACGCATTGTAATCAAATTCAATAAAAATAACTGCATCATATAAAAAATGCGTGCACGATATTTTCTTAAATTTGTTTATGCAGACAAACAAGTGAAATAGTTACAACAAATTTAACTAACTTTTATTAGCAGCAAAAAATTAATCAAAACATATTTTACTTTACAGGGTCATTCGTTTATACAAAATGTTTGTCTCTAATATGAAAATACAGGGTCATTTGTTTATAATAAAAATGGATGTTACTGTAGGAAAATTTTATTGAATTTAGAAACATGTTTTTTTACTAAGTGGATTTAAAACTCATATTTGACTATTCATTTAATTTGTGGCGTTAAATTTTAGAATAAAATTTGGGCCTTACAACACTGCTAAATCAAGGGTCGCTCCGCTCAGTACAAAGTCTTTACCCAGACTCGAATTATGTGCAGGTCACCTTCTGGCTAAACTATGGACTCGAGTACAACCACTCATTACTTGTGCCGTCAAGAATGCATATTTTTGGACTGACTCAGAAATTACATTATATTGGATCAAGAGTCATCCGTCTACACTCACAACATTTGTGGCAAATCGAGTTTCAGAAATTCAAAAATGATCAAACGACGTTTTGTGGAGACACGTTCCGTCAAAACAAAATCCAGCAGACATAGTTTCCAGAGGTTATACTGTCAACGAGCTTAATACCTCAATATGGTTCAAAGGTCCCCCATATTTGCTTCAAGATGCCACTAACTGGCCAAAAAATAGTCATTTTCCACTATCAATAGATGAAAAAAGTTTGGAGAAACGAAAGGTCAAGGTCGGACTTTTAGCAGTTGAAATTGAAACTAATGTCATTTCAAAACTAATCTGTAGCCAATCATCTTACCCAAGACTGCTGAGAATTTTCGCGTACATTCTACGTTTTATGACTAAGAAAAATGAGAGAGCTAACGCTCTTATTCCGACCACAAAGGAGCTTAATTGGGCATTCTTGAAAATCGTTGAATTCATTCAAAATCACGAATTCAGGGATGAGATCGAAAAAATGAAGAAGTCGCATAAATTACCAATTAGCATTCAAAAACTAACACCGTTCATTCATACAGTCCAAGCTGGTTCTCGAACATGCAATTTGCTTCGTGTAGGAGGTCGTTTACTAAACGCACCACTCTCTTATGATTCAAAATTTACCTTGCTGTTACCAAAAAATTGCATTTTGTCGAGATTTATTTACGATTTCTTCATACAACCAATTGTCATGCTGGTCCAAAAGCCTTAGAAGTGCTGCTTCGTGAAAAAATTTGGGTCATAAATTCAAGCAAGGCATGCAGTAAAACCGTAAAAGCATGCATACATTGTTTTCGATACAAACCTAAGCTGTTGTCCCAAGTAATGGGAAACTTACCTGCGATTCGGTTAAAGGCACTATGACCTTTTTGAATTAGCGGTGTCGATTTTTGTGGGCCTGTATACACTACTTTGAAAATGCGTGGTCGACCACCAGTTAAAATGTATATAGCAGTGTTTGTTTGTTTCACGTCAAAGGCTATACATCTAGAACTTGTAACAGATCTGACTACTAACTGTTTTTTTTTTGTCTTAAAAGGTTTGCCGGAAGATGAGGACTCCCAGAAAAAATCTATTGCGACAATGCTACAAATTTTATAGATGCCGATCACTATCTGAGAGAGCTGATAGAGGCGTTCCAAGAGCGCAAGGACGATCTGGCATATTATGCTGCACAAAGGGGCGTAGAATTTGTCTTCATACCACCCAGGGCACCTCATTTTCGAGGATTAATGGAAGCGACGGTAAAATCAGCAAAACACCACATACAACGAAAATATACATACACATACATAATTTTAATTTTAGTAAATTACATTGTAATAATTTGGAATTACAAAATTGTTATTTAATTAATTACAAATAAAACTTTGTGTTTGTAACTTTAAAAATATGAGTTTGAGTTGAGCGTTCGAAGCGACCGGTTGCATAATACAGAGTGCGGAATGTAAACAATTAAATTCAATAAATTAAATATTGGTAAACAACATTTAAAAACCTACTCAAAAACCTAATAATTTTCGTTTTCAAACCGCGTCCATTTAACAATCTAAAAAAATTTTTATCAAGAAATCGACCACGAAAAATATAATGCCTATTGGAAGAAGCCCTCCATCCAAATCCACCAAATTAATGAACGATACAATGTCTGGCTCAGCAGCAAAACGTACTGTCTCAGAAGTGTCACCCAACAAAGGTGACCTACAATCTGTTGGCAGTATGGATGTGTCGGAGCTTTTGCAGGACATACAAAAAACAATGGTTCAGATCAGCTGTCACCAAAAGAAGCTGTCACAAAACTGTGTAAAGAAACTCTTGGCATAAACATTGTAGTCCGTATAGCTAGAGTCATATCACAGCGGAAAAATAAACGTCAGAAGAATCGATTAGCCTGGTTTTCCAAAACATACACAGTTGATTGAAAAAGATCTGACGAAGACAGATAACGGCATAGAAAAGCTCTTCTCTTAATAAGGAAAAAAATTCTTTCAATAGATCGTTCGCATAAGGTGGTCGTTCGAAATGATAGAATACGCATTGGAAACAAGTGGTGCAAATGAAGCAAAAGCGGAATCCTGAAGTGTAACAATGTGGAGGCAACTACTACTGTCCAATCTATGTATGGAAATAAACTTGAAAACCTTAATCTTAACTTATTAAGCATCATGAATGAGCTAGATCAAAACAACCATATGGTAAAAAACTAAAGAACGAATATAGCACATTAACAACAACTACAGATGACGCTCCATCAACATCACGAAATACAGCATCTACATACAATCTTTTTGAGCTTCAAATAACATTTTGGAATATACCTTTCAATACTGCCCTCAGTCCTTGGTGCAACTATGATGCGCAGACAGCCCAACCAACAAGGGAAAAGTCCACTGGTAGAGCTAGTGGTGGCATGTATCTCTTGTTAAAAAAAATTTAGCAAAAACCATCGAAATAAGCAAAACAAATTTGTGGATTTTTAGCTTTTATTGTATTAATACTTTTATTTTATTTTAGGCTCATTGTACATTAAACCATATTATGATATAATCTTAAAACTTGAATTCCCTATCGGTACTAGCAATATAAATTGTACAAATGTAACTTCTTGAAAGCAAACCAGATTAAAATAGGATATAAATAAGTCTGATATTTTTACAATACACATGAACCGCTGTCTTGAATCATTGAACATGAATCATCACTTCTCTTCTTTATCCAATGACCAACAAAATGATCTAATTACAACCTCTATACAAAAATCCACTCAAGCATCAGAAATGGTTATTGCTAAGTCCTTTATGCCTCCTTATTATACTTCTAAGTCATGCTTTGACTCAAAGCTACGGGCCTCAAAGAAAAATCTAAATCATGCCCTAAAAAGTGCAAGCGACAAAGTTTTTCATCTGAAACTAAAACGGTATTGTAATGATCAATTTTTATGGTTTTTGTCAAAACAAAATTGTTCTTACAGTTTTTTTTTTCATATATATATTTTTTTTTATATTCACCTTTATTCTGATAAATAAATAAAAAAAAATATAAATTAAACACTGGCAACAAACATATGTATAAAAGAAATCAAACAACAAAAAAAAAATAACAATGAGATAAATAACATGTTGACTGGTGTTTACATTTTCGTTTTCGCCAAAGTTGAGAGTGCAGCTTAAAATCGCAAGGTGAGAAAAAAAAGGGGAAAGTTGAGTTCGATGACCGGAGGAGAAAAAAAACGGAGTCGAAATAAAAAAACTGTTTGGTTGCTTTGGAGTCGCGTGGTTTTTTTGTTTTGCGGCAGTACGGTTGATACTCCGCGGCGGATGGTTAGTGAAAAGATAAAGTGAACAAAACAAAAAACGGCGGTTGATACTCCGCGGCGGATGGTTAGTGAAAAGATAAAGTGAACAAAACAAAAAACGGCGGATTCTGAGTACAAATTGAAAGTGAGCTATAAACGGCGGATTCATAATAAAAATATAAAGTGAACTAC